AGCAAAAGACTAACTGCCTCTGCAGTGTTTTTCTTTCTTTTACTTTTACATTTCTGGTATTGAATAGACATGAATGACAGTAGAAATTATATTTAAAAGTTTTTTGGAAACATGAACAATAATTTTATTCCTAAGAGTATTTAGAAAAGAAAGAATATTTCAAGAACTGTTGCTATGAGTTCTGCTGAAGCTGTAAGAGGCTTTGGCCTCTATAAGTTACATTTGCAGACATTTTCTTTTAAAAAAAAGATTTACTGTAAAAAATAATTTTAAATATAATAATTTCTTTACTGGGATTATCTCTGAAACTACCCAAAGCTTGTGTTTATAAAATGGAACCACAATGCCATTGATACTTGGATGAAAAATAAGAAAGTGGAAAAAATAAGTAGGAACCAATTATCTATAGAGCAAGACTTCTTACTCTTTTACTTACTTAGGCTCTTCACACTGTTTGGTGCACAGAGTGTCCTGCTTGCTTTTCCATGCCCCCACGTCTTTGACTTCCTTTAATCCCTTAAAATTTTCTTTTTGATATCTGCCTTCTCTTGTCTCGGCCAAGTCTTCCTTGGTTTTCCGGTTTTTCTCCTGCCATCAGAGACCTAAGAAAAAGAAACATGTATTAATTTTTTTCTTTGCATTCTTGATATATGTCCCATCCATTTCCACTTTTGCTTATAAATTTCATCTGTTGCAGTCATGTTTGCTTTTTCTAATATTGTTTCATTTCTTATTTATCCTGGCTAGTAAAAGATTTAGAAAATCCTCATGTTTTTGGACTTTCTAAGGCATCATGTATTAGAACCATATGATTAAATTCATCAGACTTTTGTTAAATAGAATTTTATTTTATATTGTATTTTGTGTACTTACTTCTAGAATTTTTTTTTGTCCCGCAGTGGACTGATCGTTAAGACACCCATCAGATCACCGAAGTCAAGCATCACTGGCTGTGGTCAGTGTGCGGGTGGGTGACCACTTGGATCAGTCTGTGTATGGACCGAGGGTGCGCGGTATCGGTCCTCGTTAAACTGTGCTATCGTAAAGTGCTCGACTTCGCGCGCAGGTCGTCAGGCTACCGAAGCGGGGGTGCCATTCCCTCCTCAGAGGATCAAAATTGTGATGGCATGTCTTCGGATCATCCTCAGGGATGTTTCCCAGACCGTCGCCAATAGCCTATTGTGCAGCTCTAGTGCGACGTAAATGAACTAGAACTAGATCTAGAATTTTTTAAGATTTCTAAATTGTGTATTTGTATGAATAACTCTGTAATATCTACTCTTGATTTTTTATCTTGTGAAAATTCTTCCAATCTTGTTAGATTCTTATTTTTATCACATTTAATATTGAAAAAGCATCTAAAATTTATCAAGATATGGACATTTTGAAAAGAAACAATTTTTCTCTCTTTATACCCTTCTAGTGTATTAGCAAAAATTCTTAACAAAAGAGGGAAAAATTGTTCAAGTACTTTTAGAGCTTTCATCTCTTTTGAAAAGTACACCTTGATGTTGAGGCGCTCAGACTGTGTTCAGGGAAATGATTCTGAGTGCTCTGCAGATAGATCAGACATGTCTAAATAAAAAATATTTTTCTTAAGCCCACTTTAAAGTTTTAAAAAGGAAAATTTCAACAATGTCCCAGCTTCTTGTTTGCCATGCAATAAATTTACGTTTCGTAGGCAAGATAGACATCAGTAAAAAGTTATGAGGCCAAAATGTGTATCTGCAATATATGCTTTGAATTTTCTAATATATTTTTCTTCAAAGATGTGTTAAAAATATAAACAGTGGAATCTAACATCATGCAAGCTTAAAAAACAAAACCACTTTGTGGGCTGGCATTTTATTTGATAAATACAGTATATAGCTGCTATATAAAATTCTATGTTCTGTATTAAATTTCCAATTAAAGAGGCTTTCCCTGGGAGAAAAAGTTTATGAGCAAACAAACTCTTGCAGTGGTGGAAAGAGATACAATTTAATTGTAGAAATCAGTATACAATACCATACCTCAAAGGCAAGAATCTGGTGCACATAATGCACCTACATTAATTACTGGAATTGTTTACTAAGAAAAATATAAAAATTTTAACTAAAACTGATTTGTTTCTGATTTATTTAAAAACAATTCTACTCTTGAGAAAAATACTGATTTAGTTATTAATCAAATCTTTTTCTAATTTAATATTAAACTATTACATCTTTTTCATTGTACATTATAATAAGTTGTTATGAATTCATATCTGAAATAGAGAATTTTTAATGTTGCAAGCATTCTTTATTTTCCATTCCAAACATTGTTAGATAATTCAAAAATTCTGTTAGATAATTAATTTCAATATATCTGAAAATATAATAAAATTTATAAACTCATATCTGTTAAAACAGTTTTTCAATATTCTTCAGAAATATATGATATTCCAGGAATATGAAATCAGATGAAATGTTTAAAAACATATTTTGATAATAAAATTAGTAATTTATGTTGCGATTCAATGAATGTTTAATAAAGCTTTGTACTCAACAATTGTTACTTTCATATTTCTTAACTTATATATTTATTACACACAGTCGAAGGGTTTTTTTTTTTTTTTAGATTGTTTACATTTTGTTTAATCATTTTGTAAAATGTATTTTAGGAATAAAAATTAATCATCACATTTCAAAAGCTAATAAGTTCTTTATTCATAGTGCTAACGCTGATGGTATATCCTTTTCCACAGTAATGAAAATTGTAATAAAGGAACAATTAAACAAAGATTTACCAAAATGTGTCGTAAATGAATGTTTTATCGAACCTGAATTGCAAAGAAAAAGTGTAACACATTTTAAAGTAAGAGAAAAAAGAAAGACACTCCTAAATTTAAAAAGAATAAATGAAATTTGCATGTTTAGACAAGAAAAAAGCAAGTTTAAAAAATACAAAATTCTCATATTTATTTTTTAAAAATAGTTATAATTCCTAAATTAACTAATATGAACAAAACCAAGGATTAAGTAACGCAATATATTTCATACCTAATTATAGGGGGGAATTGATAAAATAAAAGGAAAACTTAATAATCTAAATAAAAACAACACTTGAAAATTATCGAAACGATAGTTAAAAGAGGCACTAGCATAAATATTAAAACCCGGAATAGGGCAAGATCAACGAAATTAAAAAAAAAAAAAACCTATTGATAAAATTTATAAATAAAAATAATTAATTTATTGAGTGTGAAATTTTATCGTGAAAAGAAAAAAAATCAAATGTAGTGGAATCAGAAAAATCTGCAATCTGCTTCATAAAATAATCGTATGTTTAAATTAATAAACAATTCTCCATTTATTTATTTTTTTATTAAAAACACGATTTTTAATTAAAGCAGATGTGATTCCACATCAAGAAAAACTTGCAAATGATACCGCACTTCCGAAGGATCAGAATTTATTCTAAAGAAAAAGATTTTATTTTTATTAATCAATGTCAAATAGATAAATATATTTTTCTCTTTCATCTTCTGCTCACTGATATGCATTTCCCTCATCCCCTCGTAAATCAAACAGAAAATGAAATCAGCATGCCACTCCTTTGAGTTTGATTGACTGCCTAAAGGAGAAAATAAAAAATTCGTCCCTTCCCTGCCTCCTCTCAATCTAAGGATCTTCGGGGTCTCAGAAGAAATGACGTTTCTCTGGGTAAACGGGGGAAAAAATTCTCCCCTTTCTCACATTTTCCTCTACTCAACCTCAAGGATGAGTCCAATTTCTGCTTTTTTTTTCATAATTGTTTTAGTTTAAAATGGTGCGAAAACCGAGCAAACTTTTTCCTGGATATCGGATAAATGGTTCTCTACTGTAGCTTTAGTATTTTTCAAGAAGCCTGGTATTTTTAGGTTTATTACTATGAGCCATCACACTTCTAATTAGAAAATCTACATATCTTGTTCTAAATAGTATGGTTTCAAACAGGCTCATGGATGCAAGTCTTCCGCCCCCCAGGACGGATTTCCGTCTTTCGAAAATGTTCGTGGACGAAAGTAAGACAGAAACAAGACTGACTCGAAGACGGAAATCGGATTTTTTTTTCTGTCTTTAAAAATATTTTTTAGGTCTACGTTATTGGTCTACTTTCTTATGTCCTGTTGTTATTTTATCAAAAGACAGAAGAATAAATATTTTTTGTACAGTATTTAAACTTGATGTATTATGGTAAAGCTTTCTTAGATAGTTTGCATATTTCGAGGGGGTATTGTGTATGTTAGGTATTTCAGTCAAAAAATTTTCAGTCTTGGCCTTTTTTCCAACTTGCACCCATGAACAGGCTTATGGCAATGACACTAGCAAAGGCTTATTGCACTGAACATAAAAATTGGTTCATAAATGAGTGACAAACTAGGGGTTTTTCGTTGCAACTATGAACTGTAATAAAAATAAAAGACACTTTTCTGTGAAAGTAATACAAAACTGCCGGTGCAAAACTTAAATTTACAATAAATAAAAAATCCTCTCCTTGCTCTATTCAAATCTTGATATGACAGTGGTACATCCTCTAAATGTACACAAAATTTATTCTCCATTATTAATAATTCAGATATTATTTCTCTTTGTTTACAGTGTTTCATGTTAATGTTATTTTATTGAAATTCTATTATAGTCTATTCAATCTTTTGGCAATTTTACCTCATTGAAATCTTCATTTGTCATATGATTCATATTTCCAACTCATAAACAATTGTAAATATTAATTAAGAATTGCTTGCAAACTCAATATATATATCCATATATACATCAACTGTTGAACTTTTCTTAAAATATGTTTACTAGTAGCAGAATATAATATTAACTTCCTTTTAATTCTATCAAATGATGCTGTTATACAACTTTATTTATTATCATAACCTTAGTTAGAAATTGTGTTCTTTGATTGGCATGTTTATTTTTTAAAGTATGTAAAATTTGCATCTTCAGTTTTGAGTTTTCATTTTAAATTAATGCAAAACAATTGATTTTTAGTTTTAGGTAATTCATCTACTGCAGAAGAATCACAAGACATACGTGTGATTTTGAAGAATCTTCATCATGACCATAATTATGCAGTTAACTGGTAAATTTTCAATTAATATTCTAATATCATGTATGTAAACTTTTGTCCACATTTTAATGTTTTTTTTTTTGCACTTAAAAAGTATTATGTTATTGGGATCAAACAGACAGAAGTAATTTAAAGATTTAAATAATTATACTTATCCACTTGTTGTTATCTACATTTTAAATCAACTAAGAAAGTAAAGCTAAAGTGTATGATGATTGAATAACTATTATAATGAAGTGAACCAGTAACTCAGCTGTGCAAATTTCCTGTATGACAAAGAGGCTTTCACCCTTGTATTACTATTTAGTTGGTGGTGTGACATCGCTCCTTGACATAAATATATTTTCTATTTATTCTTAAATCAATTAGCTCTAAAATTGCTTACAAATCTGGTGATTAAAAGTGTTAAACCTTTGACTGCTATGGGTGCAAATATGCATCCTACGCATGCTATTGGTGTAGATTATGAGTGCAAATGCATAACCATTTTATAACTTAAGCTTTGGTGAATGAACACTTCATATTGAAAATATAAAATATTTGACAGCCAACAAAATCAATATTGCTTGTAAAAGTATCCAATCCTCAACTATGGCTTCAACTTAAAGCAGTCAACAGTCAAAGGGCTTATAAAAATAGTAAAATCAACTTTGGTTATCTCATGTTTTTCAGCACTAGAGGTTTAGATAAACCTGACTCTACTGTAATTGTGATTAACTACTGGAATTACTGTAATATCTGCTATAACTTATGACTATTGTTAAAAAAATAATAAGGTTCCTTTTTTCCCATCTTAGTTATTATCTTATGAAACTTTAAACTGCAATGCCATGCCTGATCATGAAACACTAAGCAACACAGTTTATGAACCATCTAGGGGGAGGGGGGATCTAAGCATCAAAATTGGAGTAACATGGTGTAGAACCATTGCAGTTTAGTTTTAGTGCTACCATCAGAGCTAATCTCATTCATTGTAAAGGTTAGCATTTACAGTTTAACCCTTTGGCTACTAATGGGACTCAGTTGTCCTAACAAATGCTTCAAAATTACTAATTGGTTGAAAGGCAATTAGAAACTCATTGTAATATGTCCCAGTCATAGAGTCGAACCAAGTATACATGTTTCATGTGTCAAATATCCTCTAGATGTCGCTACTTTAATGGCGCTAAAGAGTTTCTTGCATGAAATAGCATTGTGATTTTGCGCTGGGACATATATATCCCACTAGTATTCTTCATTGGGACAGATATATCCGACTCGTATTCTTCATTAGGATTGTTATGTCCATTCATATTTTCTCAAATGAACATAGAAAAAAGAACAAATATGAGTTGTCCAATGAGTAATTTCGGACTATGCAAATACCCTGTATCATACCATGTAAAAAAAAAAGTCTGTAAAACAAATTTTTCCGGAATGATTGATGTGCTCATAGTAAGTTGATCACTACAGGTCGGACATATGTATCCCACCATTAAGTACAGCTGGGACAGCCTCTAAATTGATAACTGCTTGTCAGAAAAATCCCAAATACTAAATTTGCATTATTTGTGACTTATTTTGTCCTTTTGAATAATAAACGGGACAAAAAATCTTTTTTTAAAATTCGTAGTCAAAGTGTTACATTATCTTCAATAAAAAATTACTACTAAAAGCAACTAAATAAGCTAAAAAGGATATTTAATTTGTTAGCAATTTGTTAATAGCAACAATAAAACAATTTTTTTATATCAATCACAGATGAAATTGAAACATACTGGAATAGTTAAAATAGCAATTTTAGGAGATTGGAAAATTGAACAGTGTAGGTGAGAAAACTCAAAAAAATAATCACCAATCGGCATCAAGGGTGTACTTTTGTGAATTAGTATCAAAGCTAAATCCAGTGGTTAAACAGCTTATTAACAGTCTTTTACCCAAAGTGGTGAGAAAAGAATATAAGACATAGCATTTATTTCAAAGTCACAAAGTTTATGTGCCTGCAATAGAGAGAAAATTTAAATAACCAACAGGTAGACAAAATTGAGTTAACAAAAACAAAATGAATTTTTTCTAAGAAAACTATTTTTTCAGCAACATAGAAAATTTTTTTATTTAAGAAAATGAGTGTAGTAAAATAATTAAATACAAAGCCACTTGTTGTGCCATTAATGAGTATTACACATTTCTTATCCTTCCAATATCATTTAACTTTAAAATATTTCTTTAGTCCTCTAATATTTTGTTCAATAAATATGATCATTAAATCTTTTCCTTAGAAAAACACTTGTAACTGATAGTGTTATTCTAAAAATAGGTTCAAACTTCAAAATATTAATGAGATATAAATTATATATAATAGACAGAGTTTATTATATATTATTCATATCTCATTAATATTATAAAGTGCATTTAAAATAAGTTTTATTAAGTTAATTAGTTAAATTAGTGAATTAAGTTAGTTAAGTTTAATAAGTTAATTAAGTTTTATCTTCTGCCAAGGCATTTTAAATTGTAACTAATTGTTTTTCTAGCAATTGAATGGATTTTTGATAAATTTCCAAATTATGGCTCTCTTTTGTGAGTGGTGATTATATTTCACTCACTCTTGATTTATGTTATAAAGGTGAGGCCAAGAAAGAACTTGGGCTCTTTCTTTAATTTTCTTGATATTCTGTTAGAAGAAAAAAAAATTTAAAATTCATTTTTATGATTTCATACTTGGAAGTGAATATAAAGATCATGTTTACAGAGACCTCATGTTAAAAAATCTTCCATAATGATACAGTCGGATACAGCGAATTCCATGGGACCGAAGCTATTTCTACGCAATAATGAAAATTCGTTATACCGATATTACGAATTTTCAACATATACAAATATTATTTCGTTACATTGGGATTATACTATTCGTATGAAAAATCAATTTACAGTTTTGATATTATATTTTTAATCTAGATTTGGGAAAATATCAATGTAATATTAAAAGAGCGCACAAAACTAATGTAAACAATGAATTTATTAACACTTACTAATTAGGCAGATACATAGTCAGTAATTTTTTTCTGAACAAATGATTTAGAACCAGTAGAAATTAAAAAATTTTCCAAATTATGCACATGTTCAAACAAAGTATCTGAAAAGTTTTTTTATGCCGATAAATATCTCTTTACAGCTTCCAAATTGGCCACGGCTTGTGAAGCTGTAGGTACATTGTTTTCTTCAGGACATTCTTCATCATCGCTGCTGTCCGAAAGTGATTTTTGTTTGTTTTCTTGAATCATACATACAATATCATTGTCTGTCAATGCTTCGCATGTTCTAGCATCATCATCTGCAGTCAGAAAATCGTCAGGACTGACTTCGTTTGGCACTGATGTTTCTTTTGTCACATGTTCCCATAAAGTCTGCAAATCAATGATAACATCATTAATTTCATCGACTGTTTCATTGTCAATTGCCGAGATTAAATTTGCTTTCTTCCATCCACTACAGATGACTTTTTGGCTAATGTCTTTCCATGCTCCAGCAATCATACCCATTGCTTGCTTTACATCTGGTTTCGTAATTGCTTCTTTGTTTCCGATTTGCACAAGCATACGCCTCAGAAGTTGTGTTCGATACTTTCCCTTTACCACTTTAATTATACACTGGTCAAGAGGTTGTGAAACTGACGTACAATTAGGAGGAAAGTATTCGATGTGAATACATTCCAATTTTGGTGGCTCATTGTGGGGTGAACNCTTTCCCTTTACCACTTTAATTATACACTGGTCAAGAGGTTGTAAAATTGACGTAAAATTAGGAGGAAAGTATTCGATGTGAATACATTCCAATTTTGGTGGCTCATTGTGTGGTGAACAATTATCAATAAGAAGCAGAATTTTTTTTCTTCTTACGTTTCATATCTTCATCAAACTTAACCAACCACTCATTAAATATTCCAGTCGTCATCCACGCTTTGCGGCTAGATCTATAATCACAAGGCAGTGAATTTACATTTTTTAGGCACCTAGGTTTGGCAGATTTGCCGATAACCATAACTTTTCTCTTTTCAGTGCCTGACATATTGCATCAAAACAAAGCAGTTAAACGCAGTTTTGAATTTTTGCCCCCAATGCATTTATCCTTTGTAAACGCCAAGGTTTTGTTTGGTAACAACTGGAAAAAAATTCCCGCTTTGTCTGCGTTGAAAACATCAGAAGGATCATAAGACCTAATTGCATCCGATATTTTTTCTGATTTCCAGTCATTCACAGCTTTTAAATCAACAGAGTTAGCTTCACCACAAATTTGCTTTGCAACAATACCATAACGTTCCTTGAATCGATTCAATCAACCAACACTTGCTTGAAATTTTCGTTTCCAAAAGTTCTTGCAAATTCTAAAGCCTTTTCAAGAATGAGGGGCCCGGAAATTGGAATGTTTCGGGAGCGAATATCCTGGAACCATGTAAAAACAGCTGCATCTACATCTTGAAAATTTGAAAGTTGTATCTTTTTTCTATGTGATCCGATCAATGCTAATTGCACTTGCTGTTCCAACTTCGTTCGATTTTTTAAAAAAGTAGATAGAGTAGATGGGGATAGTCCATACTTTGTCGCAACATCAGCTTTTTTTATCCCATGATCAACTTCTGAAATAATTTCCAGTTTTTCCTTAATGGAAAATTGTTTACGCTTTTGACCACTCATTATGCTTAAGAAGGAAAACAAAATGCTTGCAAACGTTGAAAGCAGACAAACTGATTTAACTAACCTTCTCCTATTGAAGTTGCACACCACTCTGGTAATTTTCTGAAACTTGTCTACACCCCTTTTACACCTTGAGTTCTTCGAACAGCTCTCCCCCCCCCCATTTAGTCTGTTGTAGTTCAAGGAAAGAATTGTTCTGCTAAGGGTGGTCACTTCTAATCTATCATTCTTGACAAGCCCTTTCTATTGAATAGAATTCCCTCTTTTAAAAGCATGTGTATTTTGACTTCTTAAAACATGAATGAATCATTGCAAGGGTCAACTCAGGGTGGTCTCTTTCCAGTGATTCTTTTTTTGACAGGTTTTTCACATTTGAAACTTATTAGTATTTTAAGGGTGATAAAACATTTCATTTCTGAGAACATTTTTGAAGAAATGTGTCTTGTTCATCAAAGAAAATAAGACCTGGTGTTCATTTTCGCCTTCGCTAAATCGGATAATTGATTTCGTAATATCGGTATTTTTTATAAATTGTTCACATGGAAATACATTTGGGGATTCGGAAAATATTCGTTACTTTGAAATTTTCGCTATTTCGAATTTCGCAAAAACGGGATTCGACTGTAGTAATAAAATATAATTAAGTTTCCCCAATCCAAAAACTGGGTTTTATTTTTATTTTGAAAGGAAAGTTTCATTGACTTTAAAAATGGAAAAATATACTTATAAAAATGTCATCAATGAAGATGATTAAATAACATTTCGAACTCAAGCAAATAGTGTGATATATGTGAATATTTGAAATAACAATTATAATTGTAAAATTCAATATAGATACCATACAAATGATGTGATGAAAGGAACAGAAATTTTTGTCATATGGGTAGCATTCTTTCTTTTTCATCCCTGGATAATGAAACTCAAATCAATAATGCTCTGTAATGAATAATTTGATTCCTTGATAATGAATTAAAAACAGGCTTACTTTTACGTTTTCTTCATTACGAGTTTCTTTAGTGTAAAGTTAGTTTAAACTAATTTGAATTACAAGAAAACTACTATTATTTTTATTAAAATGCAGATCAGTGATATAATTTAACTATGGTTATCGTTTAAGTTCTTAAAAAACTAGTTAAAGTTGGTAGTTTTTGTGATGGGTGTTTAATTATCGAGCATTATCATTTACTTAACCTGCTAGGTGTGGAAAAAACATACTTATTAAGAATGTTGAATAGAATTTAATCCTTTTTGTTATGTTTTGCACTCTTGCTATAATATTGCAATCTTCATTTTTATGGTATGAGGTAGATCATGGCAATCATAGTTGGTGTTTGCAATCATTCATGTTGGTTAGTGATTGTTATTTATGATGCTTTGTTTTTCAACTTTTTTCAGCTCCAAATGTAATACCCGACAAAATTGGCCAATCCACGCAGCCATTACAGATATATATATATATTTTCAAATTAAATATCTTCCTGTAGAAGAAATTGCCTTAAAATTTTGAATAAATGCATCAGAGTTGCCCCTAATTTTTGTTAAATTAAAATTTTTTATATTTTTGGGTTATAAAATGCCAGTTGCGTTTAAACTTATGTTTAATCCTCAAAATTCAAGACAAATATCTTTACGGGAACAGTGATACCTGATCTAGAAATTGAATCGGAATGCAAATTTGGTACAAATGCAACTGTTTACTCATTTGGCAAACAATTAAGAACTATCATGTTTAGATGGCTGAAACTAGAGATCCTCATCAACCCTTACTGAATAAACTAACCACATGTAGGACCGTTTTACTGTTCTAGATAGCAATTTTCTTGCAAAATTGTCTCAAATTGTGATTTTGATAGATCATACCAAGAAAGTAAAGCCAGTCTAACTTCACTGTCTCTTCTATTTTGGCCATGCTACTTTCTTCTAGCCTTTGTACCATGCCACAAACCATGTTACTTCACCTTGATTGTTTCAGTTCAAAAGTTTAAGAATTTCTTTTGCTGCTTAATTTTGTAAGGTATATCTTAAATGGCTTTAGAAAAACTTTGATTTAGTATTATTCCTTAATAGTAAGAGATTTATGGACCCACTTATTGATAATAAGCCCCATATTTTTCCTTGGGGAATTGAAGTTGATAATTTTTTGAAATATTCCTCTATTACTAATTGTACTAACTTACTAATTGTACTAACTTGCTAATTGTACTAACTTACTAATTGTATTTAATTTTTTTAACGTCTTTTTTCTCTTTAGGAAATCGATTGAACCACCTGAAACAAAGAAAGTTAGTGAGAAAGTGAAAACTATTTTTAAAAAATGATTCTACATTGAATCAGAAACTTAGAGTTTCCCGTGTCAGACAAATGTTTGATGCAAGAGAGCTTTTTCCCTTGTGATATTGTTCGTTCTAAAATTTTATGGCACAATTTTCAGTTATATTATTTTAGAGAAAACATACACAGTTTTTTGCCACCTGTTTATTTCTACATTCATTTTGTAGTCAGTGTCATTTTTCACTTTTTGGATTTATATATGAAATTGATATAGTACTTTTTATTATTTGTTTTTTGTTTTTAAATTATTTTGGTGTGTTTTTGTTTTGTGTGTGTATATGTATATATATATACATATATACATATTATACATTAATAAATTTATATTTGTTGTTGGTTATGATATGTGCAAATATAAATTAATTTGTATTTCTTACTTTTTAAAATATTATTTAGTGTAATTGTAACTTTACCCCCTACAGGGTAATTAAAATGCAATACTAATTTATACTTAACTTTGTGTACTCAATATGCACTTAATTTTGAATTTTTCTTTAAAATTGTTATTTTATAAAGTTGTGTTAAATAATGAAATAGTTATTTAAAACAAAAGCTTTGCCTGAAATGGCTACATAGTTTAATGCTGTTAAAGTGTCTAAATGTTCAAAAGAGATCTTCTTGCTTGTGTACGCAAAAGAATTAAGAAAGACAGTAAGAAAATTGGTTTCATGGGACTGATAATACTATTTCTATTTTAGAATTAAAATAGCAAAATTTATTATTGAATGTTTATTTATTTGGAATAAGTAAATTCCAAATAAATAACACTGAATCATAACTTTTTATTTGTTGATAACATTATTCATAAAGTTTATTTTTATTGTGAAGTGATGAGTTTGAAGTTAACAGAGTGAATCAGAACACAATTAAGTCTAGGTTTAAACTTACAGAAAAATTATACACAAACATCGTCCTTCTCCGAAAAATAAGAGATAAAATTCAAGCACACCTCTTTTCACTAGGAACAAAAAATTTTATGAATTAATTTATATTTCTATTGATTGTACTTGCTTTATAATTTTATTTTCCATTCACACCTTTACAGTATTATTCATTTCAATTCAACTGTTTGTATATATATATAGTATGACCCAAATAAATTGCAACCCAGAAACATGAACAACTGAGAAAGGGGATGTTTTTTAAGCATAAATTACAAGATATGTTGAAAAAGACTTCTGTTAGTATTTTTACAAGCGTTTGCACAGTGAACAAAATATCGAAAACTTCAACCAACATTTAAGTAGAAACGTTTTTTATCTCTTGCTCAATTTTTGTCTTTAGTTCCATGATAGTTGTCAAGCAATATGTGTTCACAAATTTTTTTAAGTATCTTCATAGAAAATAGTCAGGGGTGACAAGTCTGAACTTGGAGGACGTCACTGTCCTTAAAAAATCAGGCAGTCCACAAAAAACTCTTCAAGGGAAGACATTGCTGCTGCTGGTGAATGAGCAGTGGCTCCAATCTGTTGTAACCAACACCATCTTTCTGCAGGTTCTAACTGACTAACCCTTCTCAACCAATTTCTGCTAGCTGTAGCGCTATTTCCTTGCTTTTTATAAGTTACATTTTATTTGGGACACACTGTATATATATGTTGAAATTGAAGCTTGCATGCATTGTACTTAATGTTCCAAGTTACTCCTACTTATATGGTGAATGAAACAGAGGGAGATAATCCCCAAATTTCTAACTAATGC